AACAAGCACATGAAGAAATGTTCAAAATCCCTAGCTCTAAGAGAGATGCAAATCAAAACAACTACGAGATATCATCTCACCCCAGTGAGAACAGCAAAATTTAACAGAACAGTAAGCAACAAATGCTGGTGAGGTTGTGGAGAAACTGGAACCCTTATTCACTGTTGTTGGGAATGTAAAATGGTGCAACCATTGTGGAAAGTGGTGTGGCGCTTTCTCAAAAAGTTGCAAACAGAGATACCATTTGACCCAGCAATTCCACTACTGGGAATGTACCCTAAAGAGACCATAACTGAGATCCAAGCAGATATATTATGCACACCCATGTTCATCGTGGCTTTGTCCACAATAGCTAGGAGTTGGAAACAACCTAAGTGCCAATCAACAAACGAATTGATAAAGAAGTTGTGGTATATTCACACAATGGAATACTATGCTGCATTGAAAGACAAGGAACTGAAGCAATATTATTCAAAATGGGTGAACCTGGAGGACATTATGCTGAGTAAAATATCTCAGTCACAGAAGGACAAATACTGCATGGTGCCACTGTTGTAGAAAGTGACTGACATCACAGTTAGGGTAAGACTGAGAAAAACTGGATAGACTATGTACACTGCATTGAAAAAGATGAGGGAGAGAACAGTTTAAAAGCGATATATGATAGCATATTATGATTATCACAGGAATCCAGAATTAAGGTTGCATAGTGGAGTGCATTTGGGGTGGGGGAGCGGAGTGGGGTCGGAGTTGGGGGGGGGAGGAATTGTCTACCAATGAAGAAATTTATCTTTTGCTTTTCAAGGAGAGGAGTGAACTGGGGGTAGGGAGGTAGGGAAAAAGGTGCAATAATGAATGAATGAAAATCCAAAATCTCTGTAAATGTTCACTAAAATTAATAAAAATAAAAAAAGACTGACCTCTCCTGATAATATACTCAAGGTATGAGATAATCTTACCATTATCTCTCCAAAGGAGCACTTAAGTTTATTCTGTTCCCATGAGCTTAGCAAATGCTAATCGCTTTACTATTTCTACAAATACATTCAAATTTATTTTTAAAAGAACTCAGAATGGGATATGCTAATAGTTTTTTGTCTTTATCACATTCATAGAAATATTTTCTTCTAGTTGGGCATACAGTAAAACTAATTCCATTTTCAAAACGATATAAATTTTACAACCAATTTTCTAAAATTAATTTTTAATAATTATGAGTCAAGTATTTTGCTTGATATACCAATTGAGCTTTTAATACCATTGATATAAAAAGCATGTGAACTTAAGTCATAGCAATTTTCAATTCTTATTATTAAAGTGTTCTTTATATCCTTTATGAATCAAGCTGTCTTTTGTTATGCATTGGTCATGTAGAAAGGGATTAACTTTAGGTAATTTTTCACATAAGCATGCTGCCCTAGATGTTCTCACCAAGTTGTGCTAAGAAATCTGGAGTTCAACCACTTGGCCAACTGACTGGAAGAGATCTATATTTGTTCCCATTGCAAAGAAAGGTGACCCAACAGAGCGTGGAAATTATTGAACAATATCATTGATTTCACATGCAAGCAAGATTCTACTGCAGATTATCCAAAAATGACTGGAACAGCACATCAGCAGAGAACTGCCAGAAGTCCAGGCTGGGTTTGGAAGGGGTCGTGGTACTAGGGATATTGTAGCTATTGTAGGGATATTGGATCATGGCTGAAAGCAGGGAGTACCAGAGGAATGTGTACCTGTATTTCATTGATTAGGCAGAGGTGTTTGACTATGTGGATCACAACAAACTGTGGCTGACTATGAGAAAATGGGAATCCCAGAACACTTGATCATGCTAATGTGAAACCTATACTTGGACCAGGAGGCAGTTGTCAGAAAAGAGCAAGGAAACACTGTATGGTTCAAAATTGGGAAGGATGTATGCCAATGATGTGTCCTGTCTCCATAACTTTTCAACCTATATGTAGAACAGATTATCCAAGTGGTTGAGCTCTATGAGGAAAAGTGTGGCATCAGGACTGGTGGAAGATTCATCAACAGTCTGCATTATGCAGATGACACAACCCTGCTTACTGCAGAAGGTCAAAGACTGCAGCCTTCAATATGGATTGAGACTCAATATCAAGATGACAAAGATTTTAACCACTGGGCCATTTGGCAGCATCAGGATGGATGGTGAAAAGATCGAAATTGTTAACAGCTTTAATTTGCTTGGCTACATAGTGAATACTCTTGGCACCAGCAGCCAGGAAATTAAAAGATATATTGCAATGGGAAAATCTGCTGTTAGGGACCACTCCAAAATACTGAAAAGCAATAGTGTTACTCTGGAGACTAAGGTGTGCCCGATAAAGGCCATGATCTTTGCTATGCATCAGAGAGCTGGACAATGCCTAGGGAGGGTAGAAGGAGAATTGATGTCTTTGAGCTTTGGTGCTGGAGAAGAGTATTGAATGTACCATGGACTGCTACAAAAACAGATTCATCCTGGAGAGGATAAAACTAGGCTGCTCCTTGGACTCAAGGATACTGAAACTTCATTTGACATACTTTGAACATGTTGCAAGGAGGGACCAGTCCTTGGAGATGGACCTCATGCTTGGGAGTGTGAAGGGTCATTGCAGGAGAGGAAGACCTTCTGTGAGGTGAATTGATTCATTGACTGGGGTGTTGGGGATAGGTGTGTCGGAAACAATGAGATCAGCACAGGACAGAGCAGGGTTTAGGGCTCTTGTACATAGGGTCACTATGAGTCACAGGTGACTCGACGGCACATAACACCACCACCAACAACAACAACAACAATCAGGTACATACAAATGCTTATATGGAATACAGAGCACAGTGTTACTATTTCTTGATTCATATTAATAGTTTCAGTAAACCAATTAATGTTTTCTATCATCCTAAAACAGAAAAGTGCTCTGGTACTCCTACTCTCTTTACTTATAATTCACATCACAAAATTATGACCTGTGTCCTTCACTGCACATACCCTATCATGATTTCACATCCAACTATTTTGATTCCATTAGCATCATCTAGGGATGGCTGGTACTCTGTCTAGTCATGAAGGAGTATTGATCAATATGAAATAGAAATTCTGATTATTAAATTAATATCATGTGCATAGCAATGAGTTTACTTCGGTACTCATTTGTTTTACATTATGTTTTTCTGAGCCCTAATTAATTTTTCTCATTAATAAGGTTGAAATTTCTTTATGTTTATTTTAATACTTAATATAAGTTCATTTTTGTTTCTTTCTCAGTATTTCCAAAAGTAGTTCATCAGTTTGTGATACTGTGGTGGTTTCCATGCTACTATATCATCAGTATTTCAAAACCAACAGGGTCACTCACTCAATGGATAGATTTCAGTAGAGCTTCTAGAATAAGAGAGACTAGGAATAAGATTCTGGTGATTTGTCGTTATTGTCTTGGGCAGGTAACATTAAGTCAGAATCAACTCATAGCTGACCCTCTAGTGAGTTTTCAGAGGCTGCAATTATACATAAAGAGGATTGTTCATCCTTCTCCCATGGAGCAGCTGGTGGATTCCAACCACATGCCTTTGGATTTGCAGCACAATTCCTTACTACTAGGTCACCAACACTTTCTCTCTGGTCGTCTACTTCCAAAACAAATCACCGGTGAAAACCTTATTACTACCAGCGGAATAATCGTTTCATAGAATGCAGAAATAGAAGTCCCCCAAGATGGAAGGTATTCAAAATATGAATGAGATGAACTGACTCCTCAAAGAAGAGTCAACCTTAATGATGTGGAGATGTAGTAAATCTTCCTGCTCCTTCATTTGCTGATATGATATGTCCCAAGATCATTGATTTGTTAGCTTGTTTGTTGGTTTCCAACTGTTGTAAAACCTAACACAGTGTGTAGACATTTGATCATGTAGACCTAGCTGCCTCTCTAGACTCAAATTCCATACAAATAAAAATGATAATGTCACAGAGAGTGCCTAACACAGTGCTTGAGACATAGAAAACATTTATCAAATATTGTTGAGTGTACGAATGAATTCAAATTACCTAGAACCCATCTAGTACCTGCAATGTTCTGAATTACCTGCACTAAGCCAGGTCTAGAGTAATTAGCATCATGCTAGATCCTCACAGATTGTTTAGCTTTAATGGAATGAAAATTTCTGGAGAGTCCTCTGGATCTGTACCAAGGGAAACTATGTTTTCTACGAATGTGGTAGGTTATATTGTTATGGAGTAAGATCCAACTTGGTTGTTTCTTTTTTTTTTTAAGAAACTGTTAAACAAATCTTTTCGTTCTTAATTCCATGGAAGAAATACTTTTGGTTTTCTCAGTAATAGTATAGCTGACTAATAACATGAAGATCCTGAAAGTTGTGTATTTTATCATGATTAACTTTCAAGGCAGATTAATAAAAACTTTTAAAGCCAAATTCCTGACTCACATGAAATAAGAGGAATCCACTGCAGAGGAAAGGAACATTAGCTTACATTCTATCTGAATTTTTTAATCTTATCCCATTTTTCTTTATGACTTAACTTTTTTTCTCTTCTCTATACATCTTAGTATTTTTATTTATGTTATTAAAAATGCATTAAAGAAGGTTGAATCAAGTTATGCAGATTATGTCATGCAGATATCAGTAGAAACTGAGCCCCTGAGTCAAGAAGTAGGGTAGAAACAACTAAACATAAAGTTCAAGGCTCTACTGTGATGGTTAATGAGTTACCATTATGAATGACTCAGAGAAAAAAAATCCAAAATTCTTATTCCTTAGAATCATCTTTACAATGAAAAAGAGATACAAAAAGTTGACAGTTTTCATTAAAAGTTTTAATCACATTAGAATAGTAAGGAATTACAAAAATTTTTAATTTCCCAAAGTAAAAAATACTCCTGAGCTGAGAATTCTTTTTCTCTAGCCAAGATCGTTGAAATGTTTACAGATTCAAATAAACACTAGAAATTTGCCCTTGTCCAAACCTTAGGTCAATGTCACTGGGTTTGCTTGGGAAAAAAGAGGACAATGACCTTGTCCCGGATCTGTTTGGTCTTTACACCGTAGACAATAGGGTTGAGAGCTGGTGGGATGATTACATAAAGATTGGCAAACATAATGTGAAAGGTACGAGGGACATTATGCCCAAAGCGATGGGCAAGGATGGAGAAGAATGCTGGGATGTAAAACATAAGGATAACACAGACATGGGAACCACAGGTGCCCAGAGCCTTCTGACGGGCATCTCGGGAGGGGAGACGAAAGACAGCAGAGAGGATGAGAGTGTAAGAGATAGCGATTAGGACCACATCGGTAATGACTGTCATGATAGGTACACAAAAGCCATACCAAATGTTGATGGAGATATCTGCACAGGCGAGCCGGGCCACACCTATGTGTTCACAGTATGTATGGGGGATGATATGTGTCCTGCAGAAGGGTAGACGATTCACAAGAAAAACACATGGAACAAAAACACAAAAACTTCGAAGGGAGATTCCAACTGCAATTTTGATGATGATTCTGGGGGTCAGAATAGTGGTGTATCTCAAAGGGGAGCAGATGGCCACATAGCGGTCAAATGCCATGGCCAGCAGGATAGCCGAGTCCAGGACAAAGCTGTAGTGTAGGAAGAATAATTGGGTGAGACATCCAGGAAAACTGATTTTCTGGGGACCAAGCCAAAAGATGCTCAGGGTTTTGGGGACACATGTGGTAGACAATATGAGGTCAGTAATAGCCAACATGGAAAGGAAAAAGAACATAGGTGCATGCAGACTGCGCTCTACTACAATGAGGTAGAGAAGGATACTGTTGCCCACGATGGCCACAAGGTAAATAAAGCAGAAGGGGATACTAATCCAGATGTGATACTGCTCTAGGCCGGGAATTCCCAAAAGGATAAAGGGGCCTGCGTTGTTGTTGTTGCTCAGATTGTACATGTCCATTAAGGTTCGATTGAATAGCTTCCGTATCCTGTAAGCAAATGGTATATAACGATCATTACAACATTGGTAGCTGTTAGTTCTTCATATCTTTGACTTTATCTGCCTCACTTACTTCATGCTCCTCTTTCATGTAAGCCACGAAAGAACCTCCTATTGCTATTATGCAATGCTCATCTCTTCAAGAAAGCTACCTAGATACAATGTTCTCGGTAGTAATTGCCAGTCACTCTGGAATCTATCCTTAACTGCACAAACCTCGCACCTATTTTAATTTCTTAGAATGTATATTTGCAACATATAATATGTAAATTTATAGAAATAAGCTATTCATATTCGAACCCCATAAGAATGAAATAAAATTAAAAACCACATACTGCAGAAAATAATTGGCAATGACACATCTGACAAGAAATTCATTTCTAAAATGTATAGAAAACGCCAATCAACAAGAAACACATAACTCAATTATAAGATGGGCAAAGTAAATGAAAAGACACATCACTAAAGAAGACATTCAGATCATCAATAAACACACAAAGACATGTTTAATTTAGCTATTAGGGAGATGAAAATTAAAATGAGGATATATATAACTCAGGCAAAAATAGCAATTCTCCATAAAAATATCAAATATTGGCTAAGGTATGGAGAGATTGGAACTCTCATACACTACTGATAGAAATGTAAAATGGTTTAAAAATTAAAATAAGCAGTTTGGCATGTCCTTAGAAAATTAGGAACAGAAATATAATTTTGATTCAGCAATTCTATTATTAGGTCTATATTTAAAGAAATAAAATTTGCAACACAAACTGATGTATGCACACCTCTGTTTATTACAATATTATTTACAGTGGAAAAGAGATAGAAACAGCCTAAGAATGGCTAACTAAACTATAATTTCCTATCATACAATGGAATATTGTGCATCACTTTAAAAAAAAACTATCAAGAATCAGTGAAATTCTGTACAATACAAATCCATTTAGAATAAAGTAGTCTGAGTGATATAAATAAGTTAGGAAAATATACTAAAAGCATAAAATCAAACTCATTGCCATTGAGTCAAAGCAATGCGTAGCTGACCCTACAGAGGCCTTTCAAGAGGTCATCAACAGTATAAGAAGAGATGTTAGTGTCTCATGGCATTGAGGGTGGATTACACAACCAGACAGATCCTGCCTTCTGGTTAGTGACCCGATTCTTTATGGACTAGACCACCAGAACTCCCATTATTTCAGAAAGCTAAGGAAAGGTCTGTACACAGAAGTAATCCCGGATAGTTGATAAAGACGGGAACAGAGGGAAGGGGGAAGAAAAGTAATAAATAGACACATTTAAATGTACTCATTAAATGAGTGAATTGCATGACTTATGAATTATATGTCAATAAAGATATTACAAAAAAGAGGCTAAGGAAAGCAATACAAAATATGAAAAACTGAGACAGCTAACAGTTACATACTTCCAATCCTTAAACCAAAAATACTCCTTTTGGTCTGCATAAAACCAATGATAAATTAACATCACTACTGAAAATAGTTGCCTTATACTCTTGTGAGGGTCATCTAAGTGGGATCAAATTGACAACATTAAAGACAAGTTTAAAAGATCTCAATGTTAATTAGGATCATAGGCCATATTAATCATGTATCAATAAAGCAATTACAGGAAAACAATCTATTCATATGAAGAGGGAGAAAGAAGCTTAAAAAAACCTATACAAAATATAAAAAATTAAAATACAGTTAACATTTACATGCATCTAATCTGTAAACCAAAAATAAGTCCAAATCACACAGTTGTTTCGTGAGTGGAGGGAAGGGGGTAAGGAAATGGGAAGGATCTGGGTGAAAAGACACAGTAATGGTGGGAAGGTCCAATGGTGATTAGTTTTATAAAACAAATGCATGAGAATGAGTAGAAGAAATACAATGTGAATGAAGAAACAAAATGTATAAAAGCTTTGTAAGCAAATCAATTAAAAAGAGAAATTAAAATAAAAAAATAATAAAAGGGCAATCCAAAATATAAAACATAAAAATGATAGTTAACAGTTATATATGTCTAATCCTTAAACCAAAACTATTCCTTCTATTCTGCATAAAACCAAACAATAAATTAGCATGACTACTGAAAATAGCTGTCTTATACTCTTGAAGGCCATCTAAGTACCTCAAATTGACAACAACAACTCAAATGATAGGAAATTTAGGGGTTGTGAATGGAAGTTAATGGATAAGAAACAGAAGAATGACAATTAATTCTTCTGCACTGTTCAAAGAAAAGGCTCTTTGATGACACAGTGTACAGGGAGTTGCACTGCTGACACCCAGGCAGCACCTCTCTGGCAGTTCAAATCCACCAGTGGCTCCTCAGGAGAAAGATGAGCAGTTGATTTATAGCCTCAGGAATCCAGTGGAGGGAACTGACTAAGCTGTGGGTCAGTTCCAGTTTGAAGGCAGAGGTTTGAGTTACTAAAGAATGTAACCAGTGTCACTAGATTATGCAAGTAAAAACTGTTGAATTTGTTCAATTTGTTCATTTGTTTATATTCTTGACAACAAAAATAAGTTATATTATTTAAAACTACAATTATAAACTTATTACGAGCCATACAGCTAAGAAGTATTCTTACTAAGAACACCCTATAAAATGTAAGAGATATCTTACACATAGATTATCTTTTTTTATGAACCAATAGTGGGGGAAGGGTAAAAGCAGAGGGGTAAGGATAGGCAGGGGGGCAGGTTAATTTATACGGTCACTCACTTTGATAGGTGGGGGTGGTTAAGCAAATGGGAAAGGTCCAGTGTGAAAGCAATGTATTCAAACTCTAAACAAACCGGTATTTAAAAAAAAAAAAAAAAAAAAAGATGCAGGGGGTAGGAGAGGATAGATATATTTTTAGCTCCTTTTTTTTTCTTGATTATAGAAACTGAAATCTCTGAGATGTAATATTATCTAAGATCACAAACTAACTGATGGAATATAATTAGATTTCACAGTCAACACTGTTTCATACTGCTGTCTCAACAAAGGCAGTTGCTTCAATAGCCTCTTACACTGAATTCAGAAGAGACATGGGGATTGTAGAGAACAGGATGAGGAAAATTATATCTTTGGAACTGCAATTTGCCTGCTACTACCTTGATACTATCCCTTTTGAAATAACTGTCCTCATATCTTTGGTACTACAGAGCCTTGGAAATTTATGATCAAAACACCATCTGAGACAATGTATTTGGTGCCTCACTCTGAAAAACAACATGGGAAAATATAAGGGGTTCAGCCTTTGCCTACATTTATGAGATAATGGTGAAATCTTACTTAAGAATTGAAAAATGGATTTAAATATGCTTTTGATCAATATAGAAGTGACCTTTAGTGGAATACAAATAAACGTGCATGTTTTAAATATTCAGTCAATATTTTTAAAAGCAAGTAAATAATTTTCTTAAAACAAATAGGTTTGGGGAGCTCTGGTGGCCTAGTGGCAAGGAGCTGCAACTACAATCCCAGAGGTGAACAGTTCATATCCGCCAGATGCTCTGCCGGGGAAGGAGGGACAATCTCCTCCTGTACCAGTCAGATCTGATTTGACGGTACACGCACACAAAAATAATAAAATTTAAAAAAAATTAAAAAAAACCCAAATAGGTTTTTTCAAATTCTTAACATACCATACAAATCTAAAATCTCTATACAAAATTACTGCTATCCCTTTAAGTAACTCTATGAGATACATAATCTTATCCAACTTTTAAAGGTATTTAAACTGAAGGAGAAAAAAGGTTAAATGGCTTGCCAAAGTCCACACAATTAGGAAACTGTAGATCTAGAAATCAAATCCAAGAAGATGTTTACTAGACATACATATATATATTTTTTTTTTACCAGATATATATATATTTACTATATCTATCTATACATATATACTTAATAGACATATATATACACACACACATACATATACACTTATTAGACATACATATGCACACACATATATATATATACACACACACACTTATTAGACATATACACACACACTATATATATGTATTTTTATTACTAGAATTCTGCATGGAATTAAAAAATGCATAGCTAACAGAGTATGGCTGCTTGTCAAAAGGTATGAAATTAATTTCCATAAGAAAACCCACAGAAATCTGAAAGTATAAATCAAGACAGCAATACAAAACCAAACACATCATTTGTGATTATAACTGGATTACTTAAACTCATTTAAGGAGGCCGGTGGCACAGTGAGTCTCACGGCCACTAACCAGGAAACCGGAGTCCAAATCTGCCAGCTGCTCTGCACTCTAAATAGAAAAACAATGACTTATAATGAAAGATTCTCAACCAAGTAAGAAGACGTGGAAGAGAGAGCATGGCTTATTTTGCCTTCAGTGTGAAGAGGGCATTTTCTAATTATAAGGAAAATAGTGGGTAGAGACCATTCTCCTGAATGTCACCAAAGATATCCATTTTCCAAGACAAAATAATTCTTCACCTCAATACAAATGGAAATGCATTTGAAATCATGAAATATTCTACTACTGCAAGTTCAGCTGTATTTCTGCAGTCAATGACCAACTACACAAATCAGGAAACTATTACAGAGATGTGCGGGTAAGATAAAAATGAAGTCATGTTTACACACAGTCAACACTGTTGAAGAAATTTCAACTAGGCATCCCCTCCATATTTCAAGTAGGGAGGTCTGTCCCTTTGGGGATGTAACTTTCTAATAAATCTATCTTTACGATTTTATCTTCAAAAACAGAAAAGAAATTTCAATTAGTGAAATAAGACATGTTAAACCTGCTTTCTTTTGTCCACCTGTGGGTGATGCAAATGAAGAGCACATTCAGTGACTAACCAAAGTTGGAGGTTCAAATGTGGGGGGTGAGGTCTCTGAAGAAAGACCTAGTGATTTACTTTTGAAAAAATTCCCTGTTATAAACTGTATGGAGCATAGCACTAATGTGAAGCAC